GTGCGAGTGCTATTTGAATTCTAAGTGTTGCCTCAGTACAATATACATCGTGATTACCCTGTGACTACCTTTTTTTTAATATATTCTTTGGAGTCTACAATTTATTATCATTGTGACTTACCAAGCGGCGATAAGGGCGGCTGCCGTCAAAAACACGTGCGATGTCGATTAAATTCTGTCAATTAAATTCTATCGCCGACAGGGAAAGCCGCCCACCCGCGGCTGGTTGCTCTAAGATGGTTGCCCATTTCTACTTTTTCTTCGTTACGATTCTCTCCGTGCCGCATGGAAACGGTGCTATTTCGCAACGTCGCAAATCGAAGGTAGCTCGAGGCGGCTGCTCGCTCATCCGCGTATATACGAACGTGGTCCGGGAATAAACGCGAGCGTGACCCTCTATTTGCATTGCACGACTTTACCGCTATCACAATAACAGTGATCTTGGCGAAACTAAAGAGAGCGCCGAAACGCCGTAAACGCCTTCGTCGTTTCGTCCGGCAATAGATTCACGAGTGATCGTCGATTGTTGATCTATTTCGAAAGTGGCGTGAAGTGAATTTTGAAGCAGGGAACCGTAAAATAAAATTACGTAACGGAAAGGCGTGAGAATCAAGTAGCGAGAATTCGTGTAGAACCGCGTTATTTTGCAGAGTAACATCGAGAATTAAGCCGATAATAATAATTTCCCATTCTACTTTCATTAAACGATTAAATTTAAATCGCATTTTCAAATCAACTTTATACTAGAATTATGTCACGTCACTGTGATTTCTTAGGAAAATTATCTTCGAATAAAGGTTTAATTCCGTCGTGTTTCATTCACGAACTACGATTTTCGGAAATCTTGTTAAAATATGTATAAGTAAATCGCAAATTAATGTTCATTTTACTTCTATCTATTCTAAATTCTAAATTCGTCGTAAGATTTCAAACGCGGAACTAGGCCACTTAGAAATTAATTAAATCTCATCCGCTATTTTCGATATTTTGAAGCGAGGAGCGAATTGAGAACGATCAATCAATCTCTCACGGTTGTCGATAAACCTCGCGGATATTATCGCGTGCCAATAACAATGGGTTTCTTTCGCGTTGATTCTTCTTCGCGTCGAAGACAACGCGCGAACGGTAAGCAAAATATTTCGCGACGGCCATCGGATTCTCGCGGAATTCGATGACGCGGTGTGAATAGTTGGTCGGATATTTCTTTCTCTCTCGTGCGCGCGCGGCACGAAACACGGCAAATAAACTGAAGATCGTGGCCTGCGACCGACCACAGAGTTCCGTGATTTAATGTGTTGCTCTGCTTGCGTGCGAGCAACTTTTAAATTACTCCGTTAAATAACAAAACTTAACGAGCTTGCATATGTGTAAAAGGTACGACGTTTCCGATATATTTCCGTAATAATTAATGCCGCGTGGATAAAATACGCACGATTGAACGAACAACAATTGTCTATAATGAAATATAATATGTCTATAATGAAATTGATAATTGATATCAAGCCAATTGCCACTTTAAGAGATCTTTCTCTTTTGTTTAATACGACACACACACACACACACACACACACACACACACACGCGCGCGCGCGCACATATTATAGCTTTCTGATAAAAGAGTTAGTTAAAAAAACAGGATGTGGAAGATTTAATTTGTATGTTCATGTAACAAGCATCAACAAAATGCGCAATATGTCGAGCAACAAAAATGTGCAGTATGTGTATAATGTGACACGATGCGCAAAGTGATAAAGTTACACTGTCGTGCGATACGTGTTACTTTCCATTCCTTCCTGGGAAAAAAACGTCAGGTTTCATTCGTGCATCAAGAATACGAGTTGGTTTTAAATAATCATACTGAGAGTCGCAAATCTCTTTATCTCTGAAAAAGTTTATGTCTCTTGCCAGGTCCAGGTACGATCGAAGGGATATCTTCTTCTCTCTGGTCTACGCTTTATATCCCAATTCTGTATTCGTATATCGTGTGATATTTATTTTTGCAAACGCCAATGCAAACAACCTCAAGTCCCTAGACTAGTCGCTGGACTATAAGAAAAAAATTTGCGCAACATTTTTACGCGTTCCGCGAATAGTTACACGTCGAAGTTAACTAACATCTTTTCTGATTGCCCGGGATTTCTTACTTGCGACTTCTGGCTTGCGGTCGAAGGAAGTTTGTCGATACCATTTTTTACTTCGACTGAATTTCTACCACGCTATTATTTATTGCCCCTGGCGCGCGCATTGCTGCGAAAGATCGTGATAAAATAATTAGTTTCCAAACCGCACTTTCTTCGCAGTTCCTTTCAGAACTATCTACTTGGCGCATCATGTTTTCTTCGCACTCGTTATATTTTCTCATAATTTACTCTGTCACATTTGATCAATATGTGTTCATTTGTAATAAAATAACTTATATTTACTGTTATTGCTTTAATGTCCAATTTTTATAAATAATTTCCGTTCTCCTCGTATTCACTCCGAATAATATATTCATCATGCTTATTAATGAATCGTGATTAACCTGACTCGAGTTACTCGAACTGCTCACTCGTGAACACGAGTGTTTAATTTTGGTATTCTCAAATCTCTCCTGCTCATCCCACACAGTAACTAGGGACTGTAATTTTTCCGCTCAACACTTTCGTCAGAGTCGATCGCGTATATTTATCTTTGAGTTAGTCACGCATTTGTTACGCGCGTCCTAACATCAGTCACGCCGCTAATTGCGCCTTTCAATTACCACGGTCCGTCGAGTAATTAGCATTCCGCGCTATCGCGTATCCCCGTTTCCGAGACGGCGAAAACCCCGTAGTCGGCTCTTGCTCATGGGAAACCGCGCCTCAGTCATTTTACCGCGCCGTTCCTTTCTTCTCTACCGTCGGGGGAAGAGACCCGAGGAAGGGGGGGGGGGAGGGGGGAAAGGGAGGCGGCTCATTAGACGGTGATTAATTTTCGGCTCCGACTCCGCACGCTCGTAATCGCGCCCGTGCTTTTCCTCGCGGCTGGCTACTTCCTTTATTTTTGCACCGACATCCGGCCGCAGTACGCCCGCGACTTCCGGAAGACCGAGGAAGACGAGGGGCGAGGTGATCACGGACGGGAGTTCCATTCACTAAAGCGTATCTGCATTAACAGCGTACGAGTCGCCTGATCACGTGCCTCGGCGGCGTGCATCGACAACGCGGCTTGCGACAACACGCGTGATACGACTGTGCGCCCGTCATGATGCATTCGCGGTGGAAATAAAACAACTGACTTCCGCAAATTTTGTTAAAAATTATTATGGTGAGAAAAATACAAAAGGGATTGCATTTGTTTTCAAAAGAGATTACAAGATTACAAAGTCATTCCTGAATCTGTTTATGTTAGTCGACGTTTCATTCGATATTTCTACTATTATTCAAGTATTTTACTTACACTTGCATCGCAAATATGCGTTTCAATAAAATTTTTCCAAGATATATATTTTAAACTTCTATGTATTAATTAAATAATTAAAATAAATAAATTTGTATGCTGTCTATATTTTTTCCTATAATTTAAAACATTTATCTATACTGATAAATTTTTTCTTATTTATGTTAACGTAATTCGATTATAATCTGGGTTTTTCTACTGGCTACTTAATATTACAAAGAAGAAACGCGTTTTTTATTTCTTGTAATTTGACTCACGCGCATTACATATGCATAAGAAAGATATACGGGGTATCCCCAATCTATCGATTAATCTTTTCATTTATAGATTTTTCAATTGATTCAAAGTTGCTATTTATTTAACAAATTATCATGCTGTCAATTAATATGTAGGCGCAATTAAATCATGTAAATAGATATTAAAAATCTTTAGTTAATAATTAACGTCGCATAAATTCTACTTTATACGTAACGAAAGTTTACTACCAAGATATATAGTGTAAAATAATAAAATTTGTGTGTTGGAACAAAGATATCTATGTATAAATCGCAACAAGGTATATACATATTATATTTAAATCCTTAATAAATTTTATCAATATCTCTGAAATTAAAATAATATGCACGAAATTATTTCTATGATAAATGGCGTACTAAGACAGGCAGAATCGTACGTGCATCAAAAGATTTTATATATTACGAGAAATCATGATAAGCGTCACAATTATATATTAATCCACTCGTTATCCTTGGCGCATTCCCATTTGTATTATTCGCTTGTAATAAGGAAACTTTTATTGTATCCGCAAAGTTCCTTCAGAAGAGACATGCTAATTAGGACATTGATTGAAATCAGTGAAGTCCCGCATCAACTCTCGAGCGTAGTATTAACAACATTCGTTATTTAATTGTCAACTATAGCATTTCCATCACAAATTCGATACGTACGTAATATATACTTCCCATTATTACGTTTAAATCAATGAATCTTTTTCTTCTCTTTGTTTCTCATATACAAATCTATTTAGAATATTTAAAAATTTGCTTACAAATGTTTAAATATTTACGTTGCTGTAATCAGTATTTAGTAATAAGAAGCGAATTATTAAAAATTAAAGTATATTTCAGTTAAAAATCAATTTTATAAATAATTTTCTAAAATGTCAGATTTTTACTATTCAACGTGACAGATTTAAAAATGTCAATTGAAGTATTACGTGCATGTGGCTGAGAACGAGAGGAAAAAAGGAAAATCAGCAAGACAGCAAATCCTTGAACTTGTATCGAATTCCGCATGATGTAACAATATGCTAAGAAATGCACTCACGTGTTGGACTTAATCCGCTGTTCGTTGTATCTGCGATGAAAGTCGAGTAGTTCCTGTATCAGCCCGGTCTCTAACATGCCGTCGACCCTGTCATTCAGTCTGTTGTCGAGGACCTTCTGCAAAGAATTTCGGAGAAAGAGCTCCATTATTAATTAAACATGACGACGTCGACAGATATCGCCCGTTAAGAAACCGTTCGACTTGGTCGCATTTTCTAGCGTTTCCGAGCGTAGCGGCTCAAGATTGCGGGCATTAAATATTCTATCGTACGACAAAATCCCTTTTCGCGATCCGAACCAAATTTGTAATAAATAAACATTTTAACGACCGGCTTTACTGCACCAGGAACGCATTGCAAAGCAAACCAGAAGGAACAACGAGTAACACACGCCATGGTACATATCCGATACTTAAATGCGAGCATTTTTTAACGCTACGGATTAAGCGCTATGACAAACTTGCACTTGTAAATTTCTTCCATTTTTATCTATTTATACATAATTTTTAAATTTTACATTAAATTCTTTTTTATTAAATTTTTATATTTATTAGAAATCTTTTCAATGTAAATGAAACATTTTATTATTAAATTAAACTTAACTTAATTTTTAACGATAACTATCTCTTAATTAATTAAAATCATATAGTATTAATTACAATTTAGTACTAATTAATTTAAAAAAGTAAATAATTACACGAGTTTTGCAATTTAAAATGCGAAACAAATTAGAGAAAATATTGATTATTGACATAAAAAATCTAAAATTCTAATATTCGTAACACCTATCGTGCTACGATACTATCAACTGAACCGATGTCGAATAAATCGGAGTCACACTGATTGTCCCTTGTCAAGCTCACGATCGCGTTAAGAATAAACGGATCGATATGTACGGCTCAATACCAAGGACGATCCTTGCTATCGATTAGCCGTTCAACGACACCGGGAATAATGTGATCGTTAGAAGAAAAAAATCCAGCGACCTTGACAGGTACCCAAAATGTTTTGCAATTGTTCCTCTTCCATACAATCTCGCTAATGGCGAAGGCGCGTTAGAAAGTGACGTGTCCTCGAGCCAGCTGACGTGCAGGATTACAGGCCGTGCGTGTCGCTGGTTTTCGAGCGGTTGTTTCGCGTGAGGTAAGGACGTGATACATCAATTTAATATACGTGATCCTGTAAGAAGTAGACCTTATATTCTCTTCATTAGCGATATATACACGTAGATTCGCAGTAGATATAGAATGCAAACGTTGAAAGCAAACGCGACATGTAACACCTGTGCCCCTGAGGATAACGGGGAAAGCGTTCGGTATCGAGCGGTAATCGCGCGCTTTATTTCATGTATAATCAAGTAAATAAACGGCTTTCGGACTCACGTGAGACGTGAGTCGGACGCGTGAGTCAGGATGCACGAAGATGTAGTTAAACGCACGCACGCGACTGCACATAAAATTCAATGTCAAATGCGGTTGTCCGGTTCTGCGGTTTAATTATCTAACGTGCCATAAAAAAATTAAAAGATGAAAGCGTGTAATATGAATCGGAGAGTTAGTTAGCGTTAATCGTACAAACGCCGAGTTCCTGTTACGTGCACGATAATCATAGAGGCACGCGAGAGGTTTAATAGTAAGAAATGTTTCTTTTAGTTTTAGTTTCCTGTTTGGTAGATTTTCGCGGTGCTCAAAGACCTTGGTCAACGCCCGAGTCGAGGCCGGACAAGTCTCCTACAGACCGTAAAGTTTAAATTAATTAAATTCAGCTTTTAGTAAACCTTACTAATGATAAAATAACTGATAAACGCTAAAATAATAAGTGCTCGACTGAGCGCGATTAAGTAGCGATAATGGAAACAGCGAAATGTAGAGTGCCTTCTGTATTCGCGTATTGTAGCAATGCAAAGAGTCGAAACAGACGACTCGCCATCGTTGTTGACATAATTGCAAACACTCGTAATTAAATAAGCGTTTGGCGAGCGGCCTCGATTGCATCGCGCAATTTTGGACTTTAATCGTCCAAAATTAAAATCACGTGCGTATTAGAAAGTGATGGAATGGCAAAGTTTTAGTCAAAGATATCACCGACTACAAGCAAAGACTTAGAGAGTATGTATGCATGTCTAAGACTTTGCTTAGTGCCATCGTGCCTAAGACAAATAAGTATAATATCAAAGTTTCTTGCGCAGGTCTTTGAGGATGCCCATGAGACTAATTCTGCGAAATATATACGTAGCTTAAAAGAATTTAGTTAATGTTCAAGTGGTAAAAACTATCAAATATTGAAATATCAAAATAATTAGAAAATTAATGTGATATACGACGATACATCTATCTTCAACCATTAATTATATGTATTTAAATAAAAAATATATTTTTATAAATGAAAATCATAATCTTGGTAAATTTCGCGGTTTCCTGATATTATCGTCATTTTCGCTTCCGTCTTTCGCGGACGTTTAAATAATTGTGTGGACCCTACACGTAGGATTTGTCGCGAGAAATTCGGAAGGATCTTTGTTTGAACACCGAAGAGACGTGAAAGAGACGCGCCCGAACGCTAGCGACTCGAATGACTGTTCTCACGATCGTTCATGGTTAAAACGCGACCTCCACAACCCGTTTCGGCTGTGCGTTCATTTTAAATCCCATTTAAATGCCGGAGCCTCGCGCCCTACACACACGCCCACACACGGGGACACGTGTGGCGCGCACACACACACACACACACACACACACGCATGCGTATACATCGTACGCAGCTTTCCTCTTCTCGTTTCATTCATGCGCGCCGCGGCGCTCGAACGCGACCGTCGATGACGCAAGCCGATAGCCAGAAAGTCAGTATTTGATGACCACACGGTACATGCGCCACTATGTGACCAAACTACATTCCACGTGTGCCCGCGTGCGTGTCCCGCGTGTGTGCTCACGCTATGACAGATTTTACGACCGGCACGGGTGGCATTGAGATATACATGTATGCGTGCATGCGCGCGCGCACACATACACACGTGTGTGTGTGTGTGTGTGTGTGTGTGTGTCAAATTCGACATATCTATCTTTTTTTATGTCGAATGAGAGGTAAGAGATACGAGTGTTCGGCGATTTATAATCGTTGACATCTTGTTGAAACAGCGCCTGCAACTCCGATAATGCAAATACAAAAAACGAGAAAAATTGACGACAGTAAAGAATGTATGCTTTAATCTAAAAAAAAAAAAAAATTAGATAAATTTATTTCTATAAATAGGTTTTAGATCAAAGACGTGTGATAATCCATAATACATAATTCATAAGGCCTACTTTGAAAATACAATGTTTTATGCTTACGATGAACTCTGTACCCTTCGCTCACATTATGATAAAGGAAAATAGACGCAGACTCGTAAAGTCTCGTCACTTTTCGTGAAAGCGCAGTTGAACAAAAACCGCGTATTTTTACGCTCCCAAATTTTCAATGGAACATTTATAGAAAAGCGCATAAGTACTCAACGAGAGTCTTGTGGGTCAAAACTGCGAGCTAGGATGCAAAAAAAGAAAAAAAAAAAGGAAAAAAAAGAAGAATTGCTCAATAGTCCAGAGAGGTGCGGGACGTTCCGCAAATAGCGCTGGATCCACTTGCGCGCCGATCGTTGCGGGCTTTTGCGTCGCGGCCTTCGCCGAAATCAATGATCCCGTCTGGAGGTGAAAAAGTCAAAGGCCCGAACGGACTCCCGCCGGACGGATTCGGTAACCACGTGCATACGAAGCCCGGGCCGTCGCCGTGTGGGCGGCGCTACCGGGAATACGCGATTAGATCACACGGATAAGACACGATCGCCGTTCGCGGCGAAAACGAAACGGCGAAACGACGACGTGCACGTCGAACGCGAATTCCACGACGTTGATGCAACGTCGAAGTCCCGGCGGAGGACCAGCATTAATCCTCGGACGATCTCCTTCAGTTGCCCCAGACGAAGGCGAAGGATAACGATATGCGTTGTCATACCTGAGACACACGTAAAGTATTGATCATTTCGTCTCATAGACAGCACCTTCGTATTTATCTGTCGTCAACGTTACGATGTATTATAAAGTTTATTTAGTCGATTTCAGCTTCTTTTTTTTATCTAATCTGATCGTTTCTTATGATGCAAGCAATATTAATTTCATAGGTTTTTTTTCTTATCATGACGTTATACACGTGCAGAAAAATGTGGAAGAATAAAAAGTACGAATGTTTAAAAAAATATTCTAAACAGATACATTCTTTGACATTTCTAGAAGATAAATATCTTCTATTCTATTCTAAAATAAGATAGAAAACTTATCATTTTGTTGCTAGTTCTTCAAAATGTGTCGTGTCAAACGCGACTGGAAAGAATTTGAAATAGTTTCCGGCAAAAGCCATTGACCAGCTCGTTTACGACCTGCCGACTTTTTACAGCGGATAATACATTTTGTGGAATCAGCGAAATTGTATAATGTGACACGCAAATGCGGAGGATTTCGCAGTTCTCTTTTCTCTTAACATGTTATGAGTTAAAGAATGAAAAAGAGAGAAAGGAAGAGTGACTCGTCCTGCAATTTGGACAAATGATTTTCGTGGAAAATCGAGCACGCCCACGGCATCGGCCACACTTTCGTGCGAATTCGGTCGTTTGCGTCGATTTGTTGAATCCGCAAGAAAGAATTGCTGCGAGAAACAAAATAAAAGGAAGTCAAAAAACGGTACATCGAGATTTATTCATATATAATTCATTTCCGTTATATTTAACAAATAAAAAAAAGTCTGTGTTATATCCAGTAAATTAGGTATGTCCTCTCTGGAACATCCAATATTATAATAACTTAAAAAAAAAAATCATGTTTTAGGAAATATTTATGTTTTTCCAATGGTAAAATTAAAATGGAAGATTAAAAAAAATGCAGCACAACTTCAAATATTTCACGAGGTCAAGAATATTAATATGCAATCAAAGGAACGTAAAAAATAACTGTATAAATCTTCAATCAAATGATAAATATTTTCGATAATGAAATGTGAATGGATTCTTAATAGTATCAATTTGAGATAAGAGCACTTTCAAGAATGATCATCATGAGAATCTTGAAACACATTTTTTCGATAATTTTT